ATATATATATATATGCCCCGGAGAGAGAGAGGGAGAGAGAGAGAGAGAGAGAGAGCGAGAGAGAGAGAGAGGTCTAGAGAGAGAGTACGCAAAAAAACTGTTATTCCTAGCTGTGATGTTGATTTCTAAATCAGGTAGGAGCCCAAAACCCTAAGCCCGAAGCCTCGATGCCAAACAAAGGTCAATCCAGAACGTGTGTGTGTGTGTGTGGTTCCCAAACCCCACACGGGCCCCACACCCTAAACCCATAAAGCCCTAAACCTTAAACCCCTAAACCCTAAACCTGAGCCAAGGATGCTTTGGATCTCGACGCCGACCTTGCTGCACATCATCACGAGGTGAGGTTTTTGTTTCATTATGGACCCGGGATGATTCGGGCGAGGGATAAACTATATAGTGATAATCCGCTTAGGACAAGGGCTTCCTGGGTTCGTGGGTTTTTGAACAGAGCTTATGCAAAGGTTGACAGTTTTGAAGGACCATGTCATATAGGGTTTGGGGTTTAGGGATTTGAAGGCCTCATGTCCTCGTCGGGTATAGCTAACCCTTAAACCCTAAACCCTAAACCCTAAACCCCTAGACCCCTAAACCCTCTAACTTCTCCAGCTGCTTACGGCTGCGAACACAACGGCNNGCAGTATGGATGGCTAAGTCTCATCCCAAAGCCACCTCTAAATCTCCGATCTATAGATTGCCATCTAAACTCGAGCTCTTGATTCCCAGGACCCTGATGGATCGAATGTGGAGCAGGCCACACATTCTATGGATGACGAGCCTGAAGCTTGTCTGAAGCGGACCAAGCACTGTCAATCTAGCTAGATTCCTTGTTAATGAAGTGAACGAGATACTGAGGGCCCAATGGTCAAAGACATGGGTACCACCGGTGCAAAGCAAGAAACATCGAATGGTGCTTTCAAGGACTCCGTACCACCCCAAGCCATAGAAATGCTATCGTACATCCCCGGGCAGGACCGAAACCCTCTACTTCCAGAGGGTGCTTGCCGGGAATGGACATTGCCGGTGCAAATGGGTCTCAGTGCTCAGGGCCAAGCCGTCGAGGCCGGGCAGGTGAAGAAGGACCAGGCGGCCTTACGTAAGAGGCGAAGGGAAGAGGAAGCAGCAAAAGCAAGCAAAAAGGCTGCTAAGAGTACTCAGCCAGTTCCGGAGCCTTCCTCGCTGGATGCTAAGAGTGCCAAGCCTGTTCCTTCGGAGCCTTCGGGGGATGCTAAGAGTGCCGAGCCTGAGCCTTCGGATGCTAAGAGTGCCGA